ATAAAAATTATTGTAAAAAAAATTTATATAAAATATGATCAAATGAAACTTAAATGACTCAAAAAAAATTTTAAAATTTTACCCTTTTAATTCAAATTTCTGGCTTCTTTCTCGTGTATAAAATATTATTGATTTGGACATAAGAATGTGTCCCTAGATCTGCTTTGCAAGTCTTCCTCGCTAGTCAAACTAAGTATAATTTCTGCTCAAACAGCTGTCAATTTCAAAATGGTTGCTCAAAGATCTTTATCACATGGAGTTGCATTTGACATAACCATGATGGTACATATATTGTATTAGTGCTACAGCCACCGGTTGTTGTTCAGTTATGTGAGGTTGAAGGTGAAAGCCGGGATCCTTTTTTATTTTTTATTTTTAATTGTCAAAGAAAAGAAGTTTTATTAATTTAAATATAAAGGATACACCCGTAACAATGCACCCCTCTTCTTTTGGATTATCAATATTCCTTTTCACTGGTTAAATTAGTTTATCCAAAATAGAGCAATTTTATTTGAAACTTTTGTGAATAAGGTCACTACTTTTCCAGGCAGCAATTTGTTATTAAAGTGCAAATGCCTAGGTAGTCATATGAAAATTCAGCAACTCAACAAGAAATGCAAATGATCATAAATTCATAGTATTTAAATAAGAAACAGTCATTTAAGATTCTAATTATCTTGGATCTAGCTCAGAAATTGAAACTTGGTTTATTGAGGGCAGGATATGTCCATCACTCAATTGGGTGTATTAACGCGAAGATGACATATCTAGCTGAAACCTTTTGTGCTTTAAATATGCAAGGTGAGGGTGTTGGGAGAATTATATAATTATTGGTAAGCATCTCCACAATTGATCCCATAGTTGGCCTCTGGAGTACGTTCTTGCGCACACAGTAATCCAATATGGATACATCTCATCATTTGTGATGTTGAAGTCTCACTCAAATTAGTATCTACAATATTTAATGGCTTCCCTTCTCTCTAGTTTCTCCATGCCTGCAACAAAAATAAGATTAATGGAACATGGTATAAACTACACATGACTAATCTTTTAAAATGTTAAATTTCATGTATCTTAATATTGTATACTTACCAAATTTATAAGGGTTTCATCATGCTCTATATGGGAAGGAGAGCATTTTTTTTTTTTTTGACCACTTACAATCTTCAAAATCATTATACTGAAACTAAAAACATTAGTTTTAACAGAAAAGTACCCCATGTTTAATATATTTTGGAGCCATATATCTATTGGAATTCTACAATTTTAGAAATTATGAACGACATTTTACCAAGGGTACATAGTGCTAAAATGAGCATGAAAGGAATATATATACTTACTATGTTCCCAACAACTCTTCTAGTTGTATCATGAGTCTCATCAACCATAAACAATCTTGCCATGCCAATATCTAAAATTTTTAGATTCATCTCTACATCTAGTAAAACATTGCTTGGTTTAAGATCACAATAAATAACTTATAGTTGAGAGTCTTCACGAAGGTAAACAAGTCCTTGAGTAATTCCTCCTATGATTTTGTAACTTTTTTCTCAGTCTAATTGTGCATTCTTGATTGGATATATATATATATATATATATTCATGGTTCATGTGGGTAAATAACACAAAATACCTTAGAAATCACTAGCAAGGATATTAATTTTAAAAGGGGAAAAAAAAAACGATGGTCTTGTAGATGACTAATTAAGACATACAGGCATCACTCTTAGAAAGCCTACAAACACATATGTAACTATATAATCCATGAACATGCACTAAAAGGGGATTTGAGGCATCGCATGCAATAATTTGCAGAAATCTCATGGAAAAATGTAAAAGGCACCTACCTGACAAATATGAAATGATCAAGGCTTGTGTTTGGCACAAATTCATGGATGAGAAGTCTCTCATCTCCTTTTAAGTAGAAACCAAGGAGCCTTACCAAATTGCAGTGTTGAAGTTTGGCTACTAAGAGGACCTCATTCTTAAATTCTATGTCTCCTTGTCCAGAGCCACTAGATAGCCTTTTTACAGCTATACGTTGTCCATTTGGAAGCTAGCCCTATAAATCGATGATAATGATACTATACATTTGAGTTCAGTGATTAGGAAATTTATATGAATTTAATACAAATTCACAACCATAATTGCCTTGTAAACGGGTCCAAATCCACCTTGTTCAATTCAAGCTTATTTTCATCACAGAAGTTACTTGTAGCAGCTTGGATAGTGGCAAACTCATATTGCAAGGACTCAACCTTAATAATTTCATCTACAGCTACAACAAATAACATGAGCAACTAGAGAAATCAAATCCTTCATCAGGAGCAAATTCCAAACAATATATTCGTTGTAATTAGCAACTTCAATGTCAACTCTTGATGTTGGGTATAAGTCTTCATCAAGTCAAGATTTACATAACTCTTAAAAGTTGATATTCAAATTATTAGTATGAGGTGGTTGTAACATTTATATAACAATCATAACCATAACCGCAGGCTCAAAAACAAGGGCTTTAACAGTATGAGTTCCAATCAAAAACCAATTGATTATATGTAGAATGACCTATACCATATTTAAGCAACCTGTTTCTTTTCTTATTTTTTATTGCAGGATTTCCCACTTTTAATGGCATCTGAGAATTAATATTTCATGCTACAAATTTTTTTCCCGAGAGTGTGGAATATTACTTGCAGTCGTCCTTTTTCTTTGATTTTCTGAGTCTTAAACAGATCCAAATGCAGAGGAGAACCAAAAAAACACTCAGAACTGAAGCAATAACGATGATTATGAGTACTGTTGGAGGTTTGTTGCTTTGTTTTCCTGAAAAAGCCAAAGTTTGGACCCAATCACTGGTTGACTTTTAGTTTAAACCATCATTACCAAAACTAAAATTTACCATCTGTTGGAAGAGGAGGAGGTGAAGACAGAGGCGGTGGTGATGGCTGAGGAAGGTCATCTGCGGAGCCAAAAAAGGGCCAGTCTTATATCTCAGCATACAGCTGGGTTGCTGAAGTCTACACCCGATTCTTCCAGAGCAGAGTCTAAACATCTTGCCGATCACCGTCGCCAAACAATTGCTACATATTTGCTTGGACAGATCCGGAGTGCACTGCACCAAAATGTATATTTTCTCAAAGTAATCCGAACTCGTCCCGTTATCCACCGCATACTTACGAAGATTGCCTCCGGTGCCGCACGGTTGGTCAAATTATTTAACAAGGAATTCAATACCATATTGAATTCACGAGCATTGGAAACATTTAAATCATTATGTAGTTCATAGGCAGGCTCGGTTTCCATTACTCCAAAAATATCTCGATTTGAGTAGCGAAATATACAGAGATCAGACTATCCAACTGCCTTTGTGTTGTTAGGACAGCTCCGCTCGAGCACCGGAATGATTTCGTTGAGACAACTTTTGCAAACATCCTGCTTTACGTCTCCTCTACAGAGTCCAATTGCAGTAATCTGAAACAGGCTCTCCCCGAAGGTGAGATTGTAGAACCCATGATTAAACTCCTTGGTTGAGGAGCTTTGGGCGGGAGGCGTTCGATGTTGGCCCCGTACCTACTACTGTTAACGGGGTACAAGTCATCGGAGAAACAACTATACCCAAAGGTTAAGTGAAGAAAAGAAGATCAAAAGCACTAGTAAACACCATAGTTGCCTTCTTCTAGCCATTGAAAAAGAAGTGATATGTTAAGGGTAAATGGACATTGATTAATAAATTGGAATTTTTATTTTTTAAAATTTTAGTAACCTAACAGATGGGTTGGTCTGAAGTTCTGAAATTGGAAAGAAGTTTCCGTTGAAAAGAGCTAATTTAACAGATTAGTTGGTATGAAGTTCTAGAATTGGAAAGAAGTTTCCACTAAATAAATACACTACTAAATTAAGATGAGTTGATGCGAAGTTGTGAAATTTATAAGTTAAAATTAATTTAGGTTGAATGAATAGAGATAGAGTCATTGATGACACGGATTTATTTTGCGGAGACTCAATAGTACTATGATATATTTTTTATGGACGCTGATACAGACACACTCCGGACCAACACCCATATTAACACATTTTGGTTCAATTTTTAAAATACAATTTTGTCCTTGGAGTTTACATATCCATGGCTTATCCTGGATACCTTATGTTTAAATCCCTATGATTTCATGAAAATCAACCCAGATCCAGGCGCTCTTGAATCGGTTTTCGTCTGACCCTGCATCATCCTGATTTGGATTTATATTTTATTTTCCCTGTAATTTGATTATTTACCCAATCATCATCCATATTAGCATCTGGTTCCTCACCCACATTAGCATAGCAGAAATAACAAAACACTAGAGCCATAACTTTAACAAAAGAATAGAATTCCCAAAGCATTAGAGCCATAACTTTAACAATAACAAAAGCTAAAAGGGTGAACCCAGATCTGGGTTCTTCTGGAAAACCTGAAATTGGGTTCCCCAGGGGAACGTCGAAACTGGGTTCCCTAGGAGAACCCCGAAACTGGGTTCTCAAGGGTAACCCAAAATTGGGTTCCCTAAGAGAACCTCGAAACTGGGTTCTCAAGAGAACCCAAACTTGGGTTGTCCAAAAGGGGAAGAGAAGGAAGAAGAGGGAAGGTGAGGGAAAGAAGAAGAAAAAGAAAGGAGGAGGAGGGAAAAGAAGGAAGAAATCATGGGCAAAACAAAGTCTTCTTGTTCCCAATCTTAGAGGCTTTCTTCCTTGACTTTCCTTTTGTTTGTTTGTTTAATTTCAAATTACGAACATTTTATTAGAGCAGAGGAGATGTTTGAAAACAAATTTTAGTTGTTCGCTTTTAATTCAAACCATTGAATATTAATATTTTAAGGTTGTGTGTTGATTTGGGTGAATGAACTGAGTGTGTCCATGTCATTACCCATTTTTTATATGTAATAAGCAAAAATTAAATTCTAAGCTTTTAATTAAAAGTACAAGTAATTTTATTTAGGTTGTGTTTGGGAACTTGAATTTGAATTTGATATGTGTATTTTAAATACATGTAATTCAAATACATGTATTGTAAATACTTAATAAAATACATAGTTTGGATAAATTAAACTACTATGAAATTGAAATTGATTTGATGTTAATCCCTCTCATTGAGGCATTTTTACAAACACTTGATAGACAACATTAATAGGCATTTTTACGACTGCTCACGATGGCTTGATATGAACTGTGCTACCCTCATCACCATCGCCCACTACCAGAAAATAAAAGATACAAGCTTGTTGTCATCGTGGGTGCTACAAGCTGCAAGAAGTCCTACCTTTCCCTTGGCTTGGCCGTTGTCTACTTTGCTTACTCTCAAGTCATCAACTCAAAAAATCCAAGTTTATGGAGATCTCCATATCATCACCAATAAATTACCTTTCCATAAGTGACTTGGCATCTCCACCACTTTTGAATGTGATCATTGGAGCTTCTTCAAAGAGCAGAGGAAGATGGAAAGAATGAGCAGGGAATTTGAAATTCATTGTTAGATTCATAGGTATGAAAGCGTATTTCAAATACATGCTATTTGATCTTTAAAATACATAGGTTGAAATACATGTATTTAAACTAAAATTCAAATACACTTATATTTTGTAAAAGCAAACAATGTATTTAACTTTATAACATCAAATTCAAATACACTCCTCTCAAATTCATGTTGTCAAACAAAGCATAACAGATTATGTGCAATTAATGATAAACTATTACTACCATAGTAGTTTGTAGGCAAATCATGCAAATTACCCCCTACACTTATTGAGAGGTGACAAAAAAGCCCCTAAACTGAAAACGGTAGCATAGGACCCCTTAAACTCGTCAATGGTGGCAAATCAACCCTTCTCCAATGGCTGATGTCATCATTCCGTCTAAACTTAACCGAGTTCATGTTTTTGTAGGGTCCACTGTCGAGCTGGACTTGATGTACTTTTTTTTTAATTTTACTTTTTAACATTTTTTCAAGAAAAATGATTGAGAATTATTATTTTTAATATAATTTTATATGTTATTTAAATAATTAATTTTTTTAAATTTATGTTATTAAATATATCTACTTATTTAATAATATATAAAAATTATATAAAAAAATAGTATAAAAAAGTTGCCTCTATATCATCATCTTTTTTTTTTAACGTAAAATTAATAAAGTAAATTTATAAAAGTTTTTTAGGTTAGTTTTTTAATTCACATCCTTGAAGTAAAAGTAAATATATATTTGTTATACATTTTTATTATTAATTTATATAAAAAATTAAAAAACTAAATTTTATTTTCAACATTAGTGTCACGTGATATATTTTAATTGAATAGTTAATAAAATTAAAGTTAACTTTTATTTTTTATACAAATTATAGTAAAAAATAAATATATATTTAACTTATACCCTCA